CCCCCCCCATAGCTAGCAATCCAAAACAGTTCAGTGGAGCCTGAGTGGTGGGTGTTGCCTTCTGACACACTTCTGGTGATCTCAGGGGGTATGGTATATGCAAATAAGTTATGCTTATGAGTTAAGCTAATGAGCTCCTGCACATCTTTTTCTACGAAATGGCCCCTGATGTTACTTATTTCCATGCCCTCCAAAGCATCGCCTGCACATCCCCATGTATTACAGCACTGTTAAAGGGAAAGGACATTTCCCCTTCAGGTTGTTATCCATTGTTGCCGACTTCCAGGGAGGAACCTGGAAAGCTCCAGGGATTACAACTGATCTCAAAAAGGGAAGCAGGGGTGGAAAGGCCACTCTGGAGGACAAACTCTATGGTACACCACAGACCATCATGCAAAACCCCTCCCCAAGTTCTCCCCTACACAGGCACCGCCTCCAAATCTGAGGGAGTTTCCCAGACTGCAGTAGGAACCCCTTTCCCCCCTATCAAATCAGGGCTGGCTTACAGCCACCCCACGGGGTTTTCAAGGCAAGAGACCTTCAGAGGTGGTTTGCCATCGCCTGCCTCCGCATAGCAACCCTGGACTTCCTTGGTGGTCTCCCATCCAAGTGCTCACCAGGACCAACCCTGTTTAGCCTTTGAGATCTGATGAGACTGGGCCAGCCTGTGCCATTGAGATCAAGAACAAGCCCTGATTCTGCGTGAGCACGGCCAGCACGAAAACGGTGATGCTCTGTCTTCTTGGTGCTTAGGGGGGGGGGTCAACAGTGGGAGGGCTTCTAGTGTCCTGGCCCCACTGCTGGACCTCCTGATGGCACCTGGTATTTCTGGCCACCGTGTGACACAGGAGTGTTGGACTGGATGGGCCTTTGGCCTGATCCAACATTGGCGTCTCTTATGTTCTTATTAATGTAACCTCCTGCGACTGTCACGTCCCTAGCCCTTATGATCGCAAAGGTATGTCTGAAAGGGTGCTCACAATCCTCAGAAGCTATAGGAGAAGCTGAGCAAGATTCCCAGGGGCCATGGGTTCCTCCCCCTCCCCAGGAATCCCACATTTCAATAACTCTCTGTATAAAGTAGTATTTCCTTTCCTCCCTTCCAAACCTACTGCCCGTCAGCTTCATGGGACGCCCTGGAGTTCTAGCCTTTTGGGAGGGGGGGGATCTATCTTTGCCAACTCTCTCCACCCCATACATAATTTTAACTGGAAATGTTTTTAACTATTATTTTAAGCCACCCGGAACCACAAGGAAAGAAGGGATCTAAACATTTTAATTAATCGATCAATAATACTGTATTGATTGCCTGCCTCTCGTGATGCCCAAGGCTTGGCATCGCACACGTACTTACCATGGTTTCTCTGCTGTTGATCGCCGACCCGGTACACTTCGCAATCACTTTATCGATGCACTTCTTGTGAATGGCAGCATTGCATTCTGGGGGGGAAGTGAGAAAGGACCTTGAAGAAGACCATTTTAAGCAAGGCAGGAGCTGCGATACAAAGTGTAATGCATTGCAGCCGTTTACAGGACAAACAATGGTCACGCTACTTTCTTGCATGAGTGAAGGTCTGCATGGGGGGGGGGCTCCAAAAGAGGCTGTTTGGGTTGCCAATCTCCAGGTGGGCATACAAAAATATATATCACTGTGTACAATGAATATAAGGGGCTGTGGTGGCTCAAGTGGTTAAGACGCTGAATTGCAGGCCAGAAGGTCGGTAGCTCGGCAGTTCGGGACCCGAGTGCCACGTGACTATTTTTTAAGGTGGTAGAGCACCATCTTTGGATGTGTATCAGGTGATGGGGATGATGGCCCACTAACCCTTTCTTCTTGGCACCCAAGAAAATTAAGAAATGAATATTTGAAAAGTGGGGTATCAAGGCTCAGTGGGAAAGTAACTGCTTTATATGCAGAAGGTTCCCCGCGTTCTGTCTTAGCCGGCTCCTCCGTCTAGGGCCACTTCTGTTTAGATTCCAAGATCTGATGAGATTGGCCTAGCCTGGGCCCTCCAAGTCAGGGAAGGGAAACAGCGATATAGGTCGAATCTGCATTTGCATTTTTAAATCCGTTTCGTGCTGCTGCGACGCTGTCTTTCTCTATGCTTTTTTGAACGTTGCTTGGAGAAGGTTCGTTTAAAGCAGTGCGGAAAAATATATTTCACCCAAACAATACATGGAGAAAAATATGTTTCACCCAAACAATACTGACAATGTGCTGTCTGAATGCAAACCTGCCCTCGATGTATTGTTTGGGTGAAACATATTTTTGATAGTATTTGATACCAATATTTAGACAACAGTATTGAAAAATATTAAAAGAAAAATAATAAAGCATAAAATTGTTCTACCATAAACATATATTTATTGTACACAGTGATACATATTTTTGTATGTCTCCCTAACACTGTGACCCTCAGTTTTTGTATTAATCTCCAGGTAGGGGCTGAAGTTATCCCAGAATGGCAACTGATTGGAATACAGAGATCTGTCCCTTTGGAGAAAAATCTAGAGTTGAGTCCAGGAGTACCTTACAGTCCTATCTGGCAGCTGGCGGGGGGATCCTGGGTCCTTTCCGGGATGTCTGCCGTGCGCCATTTGCGTGCACAACACCATGACATCACCCGGAAGTGACATAATTACGTCGCCAATGTCGGGAGGGCGACGCTCTCGGTTCTGAGCAAACCTCTATGGCTTGTCGCCAGTTCTACCATCTACCCTCCGAGGCGATCTTCGTGGGTTTGTCGTGAAGACAGAATGGAGGAGAGGAGAAGAAGGTTCAAATACTAGGGAGAAAGGTGGGGTGTCGTGGTTAAGAGTGTCGGCCTGGTCTCGGGTTCGAATCCCCACTCGTGCGACAGAAGCTCGTTGGGTGACCTTGGGCCAGTCACACCCTCTCAGCCTCACCTACCTCGCAGGGTTGTTGTGAGGATAAAACGGAGGAGAGAAGAATGAATGTAAGCTGCCTAGGGTCCCCATTGGGGAGAAAGGTGGGGTTTAAATGAAATAATAAGTGATTGGATTTATACCCTGCCCTTCACTACCCAAAGGTGTCTCAGAGCGGCTTACAATCTCCTTTCCCTTCCCCTCCCCACAACAGACACCCTGTGAGGTAGGCGGGGCTGAGAGAGCTCTTTCGAGGACTGTCCTTGAGAGAACAGCTCTGAAAGAACTTGTGACTGACCCAAGGTCACACCAGCAGCTGCATGTGGAGGAGTGGGGAATCAAAGCCGGTTCTCCCGGATTAGAGTCCGTGCTCCTAACCACTACACCAAACTGACTCTGTACTTGGAGTGGCACTGGCATGGAATGCGGCTTCAATGACATCTTTTAATTTTGATTATTTTTTAAGGTGAGGATTTTGATTATTTTTTAAGGTGGTAGAGCACCCGCTTTGGATGTGTATCAGGCGATGGGGATGATGGCACACCAACCTTTCCTTCTTGGCACCCCAAGAAAATTAAGAAATGAATATTTGAAAAGTGGGGTATCAAGGCTCAGTGGGAAAGTAACTGCTTTATATGCAGAAGGTTCCCCGCGTTCGGTCTTAGCCGTCTCCTCCGTCTAGGGCCACTTTCTGTTTAGATTCCAAGATCTGATGAGATTGGCCTAGCCTGGGCCCTCCAAGTCAGGGAAGGGAAACAGCGATATAGGTCGAATCTGCATTTGCATTTTTAAATCCGTTTCGTGCTGCTGCGACGCTGTCTTTCTCTATGCTTTTTTGAACGTTGCTTGGAGAAGGTTCGTTTAAAGCAGTGCGGAGGCGCAATGACAGCGGAGCTGCCACGAGAGGGCGATAAACATATGCAGACATGGGAAAGTATGCTAGCACTGTTGAGGTGTGGAAACGAAAGCAAATGTAGACAGCTTTTTTGAAGACGGAGTCAGAAGGCTGGGACACCAGTGGGGAAGACAAATGTGGATACGACCATAGTTAAGAAGCTGAGCTAGAGCGAAAACCCGGTGTGGAAAAGCCCTTATCTTCTCTCCCTATGTAACATACAAGAGGTACTGCAAGATCTACTATGGTAATTAGTAAGATTAATACAATGAAAATAATCAAGCGATAATTAATAACACCATTACATAATAATTAAAAATATAATATAATGAAGACTTACGCCGGCATTGGTAGCCTTGCTTGTTAAGACCCCTGGAATAAAAAGGGAGGAAAGGGTGTTAGTACAGGCTCTGCCGGTCATATATATTTAAGAGGAGTGAAAATTAAATGTTTACGCAACTATTACTGTATGTTGGCATTAGGACCCAGAAGGATCCAGCCACTATCCACAAAGTGGAAAATTTCCTTGGTTTTGTCTTCTCTTTCCATAATACGAACATAAGAGAAGCCATGTTGGATCAGGCCAGTGGCCCCTCCAGTCGAACACTCGATGTCACACAGTGGCCAAAACCCAGGTGCCATCAGGAGGTCCACCAGTGGGGCCATAAGAACATAAGAGAAACCATGTTGGATCAGGCCAAAGGCCCATCCAGTCCAACCCTCTGTGTCACACAGTGGCCAAAACCCAGGTGCCCTCAGGAGGTCCACTGGCGGGGCCTTAGGAACATAAGAGAAGCCATGTTGGATCAGGCCAAAGGCCCATTCAGTCCAACACTCTGTGTCACACAGTGGTCAAAACCCAGGTGCCCTCAGGAGGTCCACCAGCAGGGCCTTAGGAAAATAAGAGAAGCCATGTTGGATCAGGCCAATGGCCCATCCAGTCCAACACTCTGTGTCACACAGTGGCCAAAACCCAGGTGCCATCAGGAGGTCCACCAGTGGGGCCATAAGAACATAAGAGAAACCATGTTGGATCAGGCCAAAGGCCCCTCCAGTCCAACCCTCCAAACTTATTTGTTACAAGGGCCGGATCTTACATAAATGTCACTTTGTTGGGCCGGGCCATGTGTGCCATAAAATGTAATGCCAGGTACCGGAGATAGAAACTGTCTAAAAGACAGCAGCTGGTAAGCTCCAAGTTGGTGTATTCTCACTGCGAGGCCCCACGGGCTGGGAAGGGGGTACAGAGGAAAACCCACAGAGGCAGACTGGAGAGGCAGCAGAGCAACGATGGGCAGATGCCCCCATGATGCTTTACTGCTGCAGACGAAGTTAAGAACATAAGAACATAAGAGATGCCAATGTTGGATCAGGCCAAAGGCCCATCCAGTCCAACACTCTGTATCCCACAGTGGCCAGAAATACCAGTGCCATCAGGAGGTCCACCAGTGGGGCCAGGACATTAGAAGCCATCCCACTGTTGACCCCCCCCAAGCACCAAGATGACAGAGCATCACTTGCCCCAGAGTCCCTATCTATACCTTGTGGCTAATAGCCACTGATGGACCTCTGCTCCATATGCTTATCTAATTCCCTTTTGAAGCCGTCCATGCTTGTAGCTGCCACTATTTCCTGTGGCAGTGAATTCCAAGTGTTAATCACTCTTTGGGTGAAGAAGTACTTCCTTTTATCCGTTCTAACCCGACCGCTCAGCAATTTCATGGAGTGCCCACGGGTTCTTGTATTGTGAGAAAGGGAGAAAAGTACCTCTTTCTCTACCTGCTCTTTCCCATGCATAATCTTATAAACTTCAATCATGTCACCCCTCAGTCGTCGTTTCTCCAAGCTAAAGAGCCCTAAGCGCCTTAACCTTTCCTCATAGGGAAAGTGTTCCAACCCTTTTATCATTCGAGTTGCTCTTTTCTGCACTTTTTCCAAAGCTATAATATCCTTTTTAAGGTGTGGTGACCAGAATTGCACACAGTATTCCAGATGAGGTCGCACCATTGATTTATATAGCGGCATTATGATATTGGCTGATCTGTTTACAATACCCTTCCTAATAATCCCCAGCATAGCATTGGCCTTCTTTATTGCAGTCACACACTGTCTCGACATTTTCAGTGAGTTATCTACTACAACTCCAAGATCTCTCTCTTGATCTGTCTCTGCCAGTTCAGACCCCATCAACGTGTATTTATAGTTAGGATTTTTGGCTCCAATGTGCATCACCTTGCACTTGGCCACATTGAACCCCATTTGCCATGTTGACGCCCACTCGCCCAACTTTGACAGATCCCTTTGGAGTGCCTCACAATCCTCACTGGTTTTCACCACCCTGAACAACTTCGTATCATCCGCAAATTTAGCCACTTCACTGCTTACTCCCAACTCCAAATCATTAATGAACAAGTTAAAAAGCAGTGGACCAAGTACTGATCCCTGTGGTACCCCACTGCTTACACCCCTCCACTGGGAGAACTGCCCATTTATACTCACTCTCTGTTTTCTATTAATTAGCCAGTTTTTGATCCATAAAAGGACTTGTCCTTTTATCCCATGATTTTTGAGCTTGCTTAGGAGCCTTTGATGAGGAACTTTATCAAAAGCTTTCTGGAAGTCAAGGTAAACAATATCTATTGGATCCCCCTTGTCCACATGTTTGTTCACCCCCTCAAAGAACATTAACAGGTTAGTGAGACAAGATCTTCCCTTACAGAACCCATGTTGAGTCTGCCTCAATAGGTTTTGTTCATCTATGTGCCTACTAATTCTTTCCTTAATAATGGTTTCCACCAATTTATATATATATATATATATAAAAGAAAGTCCCCTCACCATAAAGTCAACACCCAGGCCAAACCCCTGGACCTAGAAACATGAAATTTGGGGAGAGCACTCCTACCATGACATAGATGCTCACTAAGAAGGAACTTTTAGAAATTGAAAAGACTGGGAAAGACTGAAGGTCAAAGAAGACAGGGACAGCAAAGGATGAGATGGTTAGACAGTGTCATAGATGCAACGAACATGAAATTGAGCCAACTTCAGAGGACGGCGGAAGACAGGAGGGCCTGGCGGGAGCTGGTCCATGGGGTTGCGAAGAGTCGGACACGACTGTGCGACTGAACAACAACAACACCACCTTAGAGACCAACGAAGATTTCCAGAGGTAGGAGCCTTTGAGAGTCAAAGTTCCCTTTCGTCAGATGGACCCAGGGTCTGAGTCAGTATAAGGCAGTATAAGGCAGCTTCATGGGTTCAGATTACAACAGTGTGGTACACTGCTTCGTGGCACCGTGAGGTAACCTCCCTGATTCCGCCTCCTCGTTTTGTCTAAAGCTACCCACCCCCAAAACCTTTGTTCGGGACAACTGAAGTGGGTTGTTTCCTTCCCCGGCTGCTTTTATAGGGTTCATTTACACACAGTGTGACTCATACAGTTTTGCATACCAAAGTGGAGTTGGTCACAGCTGTACAGCAGAGCACACACGAGGAGGAGGAGGAGAAGAAGAAGAGAAGAAGAGATTGGATTTATACCCCGACCTTCACTACCCAAAGGAGTCTCAGAGCGGCTTACAAACTCCATTCCCTTCCCCTCCTCACAACAGACACCCTGTGAGGTAGGTGGGGCTGAGAGAGCTCTGACAGAAACTGCTCTTTTTCAAGGACAGCTCTTATCAGAACTACGGCTTGCCCAAGGTCATCCAGCAGGTGCAAGTGGAGGAGTGGGGAATCAAACCCGGTTCTCCCAGATTAGAATCCGCGCACTTAGCCACTACACCACTGCACCAAAGTGGAGAGTGGATTTTTATACCCCGCTCTTCACGTCCCCAAGGCGTCTCAGAGAGGCTGACAACCGCCTTCCCTTCCTCTCCCCATAACAGACACCCTGTGAGTTGGTGGGGCTGAGAGAGTTTTGAGTGAACTGTGACTGGACCCAAGGTCACCCCACTGGCTTCATGCGGAGTGGGCAATCAAACTCCATTCTCAGGGCTTTTTTGGTAGAAAAAGCCCAGCAAAACCCAGGGTTTTTTTTGTAGCAGGAACTCATTTGCATGTTAGGCCACACACCCCTAATGTAGCCAATCCTAATGAGTTCCTGCAGTTGGGTGTGGCCTGTTATGCTAATGAGTTCCTGGTGGGCGTGGCCAACTCGGGAGCCAGCCGGAACTCCGTTCCTGTGCGTTCCTGCCCCCAAAATAGCCCTGCCCGTTCTCCAGATTAGAGTCCACAGCTCTTCACCACTGCACCAAATCGGTGTCCTCATACTGAATCAGACCCTCGGTGCACCCAAGTAGGTACTGTCTACTCAGACTGGCAGCAGCTCTCCAGGGTCTCAGGCTGAGGTCTTTCACATCACCTCCTGCCTGCTCCCTTTTAACAGGAGATCCCGGGGATTGAACCTGGGACCTTCTGCATGCCAAGCAGATGCTCTGCCACTGAGCCACAGCCCTTTACACAACATTTGTTACCTGCAGAAAGTCCCGGGGTCAGAGTTCCAAGACTCAAATAAACATCACGTTGTTTTGTTAATTTTCTTTTTCTTGTGCACATGCAGCCTCCGGATTGCTTTATCAAGTAGGAGGGGACAGGGGGAGGCAGAAGGAGGGGAACGTTAACCCTCGCCTCCCCTGTTGGTTTCTCGCTGGGAAAAGTCTCATTCGCCCTTGCCTCCGGCAGCTTGCCACCATTTTCAGTTCGCTCTTTCGTTTCTCTTCTTGTCATGGGTTACTTGTGTAAGTGCCCCCACGTGTGGATTAAAACACTGCCCGGAAAGGAGGCAGTCATGTGAGTCTACGCATGATGTGCAACACAATATGAGCCCAGTAGCACCCTGGAGACCCACAAAATTTCCCAGGGTTATAGGCAATACTCCCACTAAGGTGTGGAGTTTTGTGAGCAAAAATTCTACTTTGTGAGCTACTGGCATTAAATTTGTGAGCAAGCGATTTGGCCACTGCATCAATTCGTTTGCTCTGGAGCCCTACTTCCTGAGCTAGGACGAAAATGGGTGAGCTGGAGGCTAAAAAACTGTGAGCTGGCTCACACTAACTCAGCTTAGAGGGAACATTGGTTACTAGGGTTCAGGGGTCAAATCTCACTGCATCAGACCTTGACTCACGAAAGCTTATACCCTGGAAGATTTTGTTGCTCTCTAAGGAACAGTTAGCACTTCAAATAGCCGTGACTAGCCCGATCTTGTCAGAGCTTGGAAGCTAAGCAGGGTCGGCCCCCTTTAGTCCTTGAGACCACCAAGGAAGACCAGGGTTGCTACGCAGAAGCAGGCAATGGCAAACCACCTCTGTTTGCCCGGACCTAGATGGCTCAGGCTAACACGATCTCATTAGTTCTCGTGAAGCTAAGCAGGGATGATCAAAGGAAGCGAAAGCGGCATGCAATGCAGAGGGTACCATAAAAACCGATGATCAAAGGAAGCAAAAGGGGCATGCAATGCAGAGGGTACCATAAAACCCGTTGATCAAAGGAAGCGAAAGGGGCATGCAATGCAGAGGGTACCATAAAACCCGTTGATCAAAGGAAGCGAAAGCAGCATGCAATGCAGAGAAATTCTGTTCCAATGTGGGTTTCGTAAAACGACTGAGAGAAAAGCCATTGCAGAATAAACCTAAGTCTTCCCCTGACCAGTGTTTGTCCAGCCGCTGCTTGAAGACTGCCAGTGAGCGGGAGCTCACCACCTCTCTAGGCAGCGGCTTCCACTGCTGCACCACTCTTCCTGCTAAAGTCATTCCCAGTCTGGATTGATTTTATGCTCTTTAAATGGATGTGTCTGGCCCAACCCCAGCCTGTGAGACCGGGGAGGGCGGACTCTAGAAATCACGTCAAATACAGAAATTTACAATAATGTTACTTGCCACTGGTTTCCAGGAAGTATCTTGCGTTCATGAGCATTCTCCCTTGGGGCTTCAGTTCTAGCTAAAAACAGGGGAAAGAGAGGGTGTTTTAAAAAATGAAAAAGGGAAGAGTGATTTTGACACACTCAGCAAACGATCACTTTGGGAAGAAAAGAGCGAGAGCAGGGTGTCTGTGGCAGAGTGTATTCTAGAACTTTGGTTCAGTCTTTCAAAACTTTTGTTCAGGAAGAGACATTAATGGGAAACCCAATAAACATTCCCCCCCCCCCGGAGTATTGCACTGAAATCTCCATCAGGGAGGAAGACAGAAGAGCATAAGAGAAGCCATGTTGGATCAGGCCAGTGGCCCCTCCAGTTGAACACTTTGTGTACCAGGTGCCATCAGGAGGTCTACCAGTGGAGATAGAACTCCAGCAGCCCTCCCACTACTGCCCCCCAAGCATCAAGAACACAGAGCATCACTGCCCCAGACATAAGAACTTAAGAGAAACCATGCTGGGTCAGGCCAGTGGCCCATCCAGACCAACACTCTGTGTCACACAGTGACCAAAACCCAGGTGCCCTCAGGAGGTCCACCAGCAGGGCCAAAAGAACATGAGAGAAGCCATGTTGGATCAGGCCAGTGGCCCATCCAGTCGAACACTCGATGTCACACAGTGGCCAAAAACCAGGTGCCACCAGGAGGTCCAACAGCGAGGCCATAAGAACATAAAGGAAGTCATGTTGAATCAGAAGAAGAAGAAGAGGAGGAGGAGGAGATTGGATTTATCCCCCACCCTTCACTACCCAAAGGAGTCTTGGACCAGCTCACAATCACCTTTCCCCTCCCCTCCCCACAACTTGGTGCTTGGGGGGGTCAACAGTGGAAGGGCTCCTAGTGTCCTGGCCCCACTGGTGGACCTCCTGATGGCACCTGGTATTTCTGGCCACTGTGTGATACAGAGTGTTGGACTGGATGGGCCTTTGGCCTGATCCAACATTGGCATCTCTTATGTTCTTATGTTCTTAACAGACACCCTGTGAGGTAGGTGGGGCTGCAATATTCTTCCTGGGAGATTTGTTTCCTGCACTCAATATCACGCTTCTATGACTGGGCAAAACTCTGCTATATAAGCCAAATATCCCAATATGGGGCGTGGGGGCGAAACGTGTATTTTGGACCCATGTGTTGGAGATGAAGATACAGACAACAGTGTTCTATGGGCTCGTGAGGATCGAAGTCCTCTGGCCAACGACAAGTTTTCAAAAATCAATGTAGCCATCAGTGAGACACCGCACATGTTGGGTCCCCCGATTATATTATTACATCAATAGTGGCAATATGTTAAGTGCAGGTCAGCAGCACTCAATAGAACTGTGATGGAATCAACCAGGGGTCATTTCCTGCAGGAGCGCACAGGAGTGGAGCTTTGGCAGTAAAGAGCCCAGGGGGCGGGCACAAGCAACAAGCCCCACCCCCTGCTCCCAGCAGCCCTCAGTCAGAGCAAGAAGCAGACAGGTAAGTTGCAGAGCTCCCCCCGGCCCAAAACAGTCCAGTGGCACCTTTAAGACCAAGTTTTGTTCAGGTACAGGCTCTCCCTCCACTGCGAGGACAGATCTGCACGTCCCCCCTCCCCCAATAGCTAGCAATCCAAAACAGTCCAGTGGAGCCTGAGTGGTGGTTGTTGCCTTCTGACGCACTTCCGGTGATGTCAGGGTGTGTGGCATATGTAAATAAGTTATGCTAATGAGTTATGCTAATGAGCTCCTGCACCTCTTTTTCTACGAAATGGCCCCTGGAATCAACACAGGACGCTCCGTTGCCGCATCGTATTCCTCGATTCAATTGGGGGAGAGAACTCCCCACTGTGGCATCCCATCATTCAAGTCTCTGGGTCACTTTTATGACTGTCCGTTATTATCTCATCCTCCCAAAGGGCTTTTCTTCCTAAGTGAAAGCTATTACGGTGCCATCTTTCACCCTATCATTGAAACCAGGTGTTTTAGTCTTGCGGGAACGAGCACCATTAATGTGATGCATCGCCCACTTGGAGAACTGCAAACAGCTTTTACGGCAACCTGGAAGTATTCCTCATCCCCAAACCCACTGGTGACCTAGAATTGTGGTACGTTGTGGTCATCATCTCATCCAGAATCATTCTCAGGCTATTTTATTAAGAATGAGCAGTGGCTCAAGTGGTTAAGACGCTGAACTGCAGACTGGAAGGCTGGTACTTTGGCAGTTCGAGACTCGAGTGCCGCGGGACGAAGTGAGCGCCCGTCTCTGGCCCCAGCTCCTGCCAACCTAGCAGTTCGAAAGCAAGAAATTGCAAGGAGATAGATAGGTGGGAAGGTAACAGTGTTCCGTGCGCCTCTGTGTTTAGTCATGCCGGCCACATGACCACGGAAACGTCTTTGGACAGCGCTGGCTCTTTGGCTTGGAAACAGAGACGAGCACTGCATCCCTGGAGTCGGATTCGACTGGTTTTCGAGCAAGGGAAACCTTTACCTTTACCTAAGAATATGAGCAAGGTTTTAACACAGGGGTCGACTGGCTTTCGAGCAAGGGAAACCTTTACCTAAGAATATGAGCAAGGTTTTAACACAGGGGTCTCCCCTGCGGTGCCCATGGGTACCCATCAACACCTCTCTTGGTGCCTGCTGAGTGACACTTTCTCCCTTCTTTAGGCCCGTAGCCAGGATTCTGTGGCTTATGGGGCAAATTTCTTTTTTCTGGTGGGGCTGAAGTTCTCAGTGCAGAAAGAAAAGCCATTTAGCCAATAGAAAGATGTGACCGGGAGAGATCTCTCAATTGCAAGCAGGACTGTGCGTACTGACCCTGACCCTGGACATACAACCATCTACAATGAGGCCTGTGCACAGAGGTCAATTCGGGGGGGATCGCGGGGGATCGCAGTTCCCCCGGGTGAGGTGCGGGGGATGGGGCACACGACGAAGCCCTGCCCCCCATTTCCGGCCCTCATTCATCCAGGAGGAGGCAGGAGAAGAGGGAGGGTGTTGCTTCATCCCCGCCTCTCCCCTGCCTGGGTCCAGGGAGGGCCTTGGCGGGGCTTCCTCGCACTCCCGCTGGCCTTGCAGGTCCACCGCCGGGCCCCTGATGTCAGGGGGTGTGGCATATGCTAATGAGTTATGCTAATGAGTTCCCCTAGCTCTTTTTCTACGAAATGACCCCTGTGTCAGCCACTTTTAGGTGACAGTTCGCAGCTGCTGCAAGTTAATCACTTCTGCCCGCCTAAGCAACAATTCTGATAACAAGCTGGCACGTGGGGCTGATGACTGCTATCGTCAAGACAGCTAGCACTTAGGCAGAAAAATTCTGTTAAAGGAGACCAGTTTCTTGACACAGTTAGAAGAGATCCTAGAGGTCACCCACTCCAACGCCCTTGCTCAGTGCGGGAATTATCCAACTACAGCACCACTCCCTGTTTAAAGGAGAGCATGCCTTTAAAAAAAATGTTTACAAATGATTGAAGAAAGCATTTACAGGAGAAATTCTTGAGGGGTTGTACCTTTAAGAAAGGGAGCAGAGCCCCCCCAAAGCCCCACAGTAGCTACGGGCCTGCCCCTTCTTCCTCCTGATAAGGTCCAGGATATCACGACAGGTGACATGAGATCATCTCCAGTGACTGCAAACTCTCTCCCCCTGTTGGATTCAGAACTGGGCTTGCCCATCTAAGGTGTTTCATGAAAAGAAATCTTGCATCCTGCCTCCCACCTAATAAAATTCCAATATTCAGAACACTTGTTGCATTTCCCATGTGCTACAGACCTCCCCACTGTGGGCCTCCGAGATGTTTTGGGACAGGGATCCCCAATTTATTTTATTTTATTTATTTATTTGGTGCCTGTGGGTGCCACAGTGCCCTTTCTGGTGCCCAGGCTTTCTTGGGAGGTGGTGGGCTCTCCTTCTTGGGAGGTTTTCAAACAGAGGCTAGATGGCCATCTGACAGCAATGCTGATTCTGTGAACTTAGGCAGATCACGAGAGGGAGGGCAGGGAGGGTTGCCTCAGGGCTTAGTTCTCGTGGCCCTTTCTTACATGCCCAGGGAAATGTCAGTTGCCACTTTGGCATCAAGGAGCTGCGGTGGCTCAAGTGATTAAGACGCTAAACTGCAGGCTGTGGAAGGTCGGTAGTTCAGCAGTTCGAGACCCGAGTGTGCCGCATGATGGAGTGAGCTCCCGTCTTCTAGTTCCAGCTCCTGCCAACCTAGCAGTTCGAAAGCAAGAAATTGCAAGTAGATAAATAGGGACCACTTCAGTGGGAAGGTAACAGGGTTCCGTGCGCCTTGGTGTTAGTCATGCCGGCCACATGACCACGGAAATGTCTTCGGACAGCGCTGGCTCTTTGGCTTTGAAATGGAGATGAGCACCGCCACACCAACCTTTTGCTTCTTATTCTGTTTACCTTGTTTGTTGTCAAAACCCAGAGCTTTTTTTGTAGCAGGAACTTCTTTGCATGTTAGGCCACACACCCCTAATGTAGCCAATCCTAATGGGTTTCTGCTGTTGGGTGTGGCCTATTATGCTAATGAGTTCCTGCTGGGCGTTGCCAACTCAGGAGCCAGCCGGAACTCCGTTCCTGTGCGTTCCTGCCCAAAAATAGCCCTGACTGCACCGCAACACTAGAGTCGGATTCGGCTAGCTTTTGAGCAAGGGAACGTTTACCTTTACTTTGGCATCAGGAAGCCATTTTCCTCCAGGCCGGTTTGGCTGGAGATCCTGGAGGGTTTTTTGTCATATTCTGGGCACTGAACAGTAGTCACTGCAGGTGTGGAGGGGGAGGGATCTGTGAATTACCTGCATTGTGCAGGGGGCTGGACTAGATGACCCTGGAGGTCCCTTCCAACTCTGTGATTCTATGAGTAGGGCCAGATGGGGCTGTTTCTTCCTGCAAGGCCTCTGACTGGCTGTGCAGGTTTTTAAAAATATTGCTTTGGCAGCAGCTGCTGCCACCACGCAAGGTGTAAGTGAAGGTAAGCTGGCTCCTCCTCCTGAGGCAGCCATTTTAGGGCCACGCCCACCACACTATGCCAGGGTTCCGTAGGGGCCCGCAGGCTGAAAACAGTTTGGGAACTCCAGTTCCACGGCTCCGACACTTACCCAGATTTCCGTCTTCCCGTTATTCTTTTTACACTTCTCCGCCACCACGTTGAGTTCAACCGTCGTCTCGGAGACCATCTCGGCGCTCTTGTCCTTCACGATGATGTGCATGACCCGTCCCTTGTGGATGTGCGCGTCAAAAGTGCTGTTCCATGGGGGGTACATGGTGGGCTTCTTCTGAAGGTAGACTTGGCCGTTCTCTAGGATAAAAAAAAATGTTGTTGTTATTTAAGGATCGTGTAATTTCGCCTGCCTTCTCCTCTGCTTTTGGTCTCCTGCGTTCTAATGAATTGGTGCTCGCATATATTGAAGTGCCGCTGGCCTCGGGCGCTGCAAACTTAATTGTATCGACTGGTGGCTTGCTGAGTTGCCTGCTCCCGGCTTTTATGCTGCCGCTACTTCTGATTTAGTTAGGGCTGCCAGCTGTGGGTCGGGAAATTCCCGGAGACGGGGAGCGGGGTGGAGCCTGGGGAGGGCGGGACTTGGGGAGGGACCTCAGCGGTATATAGGGTTGCTAGGTCCCTCTTGGTAACCAGCAGGAGATGGAGGGGACTTACCGGGAGCAGCAGGGAGTTCCATCTGACATACAGCGATGTGCCCGCGCCACTGCCCACCTGACAGGGAAGTGACGTCATCACGTCCGGGACGTTGGGGCAACGCCCTGGTATTTGGGCAAAAAACTCTGTGGTAAATTTGGCTTCTACCATAGAGTTTTTGCCCAAACACCAGAGCATCGCCCCGGACGTCCACCTGACCCGGAAGTGACGTCACCACGTCCGGGACGTTGGGGCGACGCTCTGGTATTTGGGCAAAAACTCTGTGGTTAATTTGGCTTCTACCATAGAGTTTTTGCCCAAACACCAAAGCATTGCCCCCGACGTCCCCGAAGTGATGGCGTTACTTCCAGGTCATGTGGGCAGTGACATAGACACGTCGCTGCATGTCGGATGGATCTCCCTCATTTTGGGGGTAAGTTCCCCCCACCGGGCAGCTCATCGGTAGCGGGGAGATGAGGCATGGCAGTGGGGGGGGGTCTACTGGGAGGTCTGGCAACCATAGAAGGGTACAATCCCACAGTGTCCACCCTCCAAAGCAGCCACCTTATGAAGTATTTAACGAAGAGAGCTTTGATGCTTATATCCCCAAAATATTGTTGGTCTCAGCCGTGCGACTGGACTCAAATCTAACTTTTCTACTGCAGACCGACCCAGCTACTCTCTGAAACGATTTTCTCCAGGGGAACTGATCTCTGTCGTCTGTCGTCTCTGTAGATCTCTGTAGTCTGGAGGCCAGTGGTAGTTCCAGGTGATCTCCAGGTCCCAGATCTCTAGGGCTGGCAACCCTAACTTTAAGCGGTAGTCAATGCTCCCTCTAAGCTGTGGAGTCTTGGTGAGCAAAAAGTCTCCTTGGTGAGCTGCCGGCATTAAAGTTGTGAGCGGGCGATTTGGCTGCTTCATAAATGAGTTTGCTCTGGAGCCTGTCTCTTCATGAGCCGAGACAAAAAGTGTGTGAGCCGGAGGCTAAAAAACTGTGAGCTGGCTCACACTGACTCGGCTTAGAGGGAACACTGCTGTGGAGTCTTGTGAGGAAAAACTGTACTTGGTGAGCTGCCGGCATTAAAGTTGTGAGCGGGCGATTTGGCTGCTTCATAAATGAGTTTGCTCTGGAGCCTGTCTCTTCATGAGCCGAGACAAAAAGTGTGTGAGCCGGAGGCTAAGAAACTGTGAGCCAGCTCACGCTCACTCAGCTTAGAGGGAACACTGAACGCGACATATGTGTGACAGGAGATGTCTTTCTTACGGAGCCAGTTTGACAGTCTTAAGATCTGTGTATCCGAACAACTGCATGAAGGAACGCTGTTAAGAAATCTCTTAGAAGTTGATTCTTGGGCTTCAAGAATGTTAACCTTGGGAATCTATTAACGTATTGGTCACCTCTTTGACAAAGCACCAGTGAAAGGGGAAAATTTGACAGCGGGCGAGCCCGTAAAAGGATTTGCAATGCTCCCTCTAAGCTGTGGAGTCTTGTGAGCAAAAAGATTCTACTCTCTGAGCCACTGGCATTAAAGCTGTGAGCGAGTGATTCAGTTACTGCATAAATTAGTTTGCTTGGAGCCGCCCTTCCTGAGCTGAGACAAAAATCTCTGAGCCGGAGGCTAAGAAACTGTGAGCTGGCTCACACTAGCTCAGCTTAGAGGGAACACTGGCGGTAGTGGCTTGTAATTAACAAGAACCACAGTGGGGACTTACAGAACTGGACTTTCCTGCCTCCCATCCCTGCTGTAGCTCACCACACCTTCTGAAATGCTACCCCACAATTCACGGGGACCCCTCCAAACATTGGGGGGAGGGGTCTACAGTGCAGGGGGGGGGGAAATCAGAGGAAATCACCAGCTCCGCTATCTGAAAAATCCTTCCAGTGGTGGAAAAAACCCCCACGGGATAGGAGTCAATATGTTAATCGATGTGATTGGTTCTAATGCACTGGAATGTGTGTAATGGCGTTGTTGCATACTATTTATAGTGTTGCTTTGGGAGATGCAGCCGTCAAGTACCTCCGGGAGATAAACTAGCAATTGCAAATGACCATCAACACGCAGACAGGAACAAACAAAAAGGACTTACAGCCGAACAAACAAACAAAAAGACTTACGATCTAAAAACACATTATCTAAAATTAAAAGGCAGTTTCAAGGGAATAATGGAGATAAAAATAGGGGGGGGGCTTGGATTGCCAGGTCCCCCCTGGCCACCGATGGGGGACAGGGGGTAGGGTTGCCAGCTCCAAATTGTGAAATTCCTGGAGATTTGGTTATGGATCCTTCAGTGGTCAAGGACTTCAGTGGGGCACAATGCCATAGAGTCCACCATCCAAAGCGGCCATTTTCTCCAGGGGAACTGATCTCTGTAGTCTGGAGCTGTAATTCCATGCGATCTCCCAGGTCCCACCTGGAAGTTGGCATCCTTAAGGGTGGCAAGGTCTCAAATTCCAGTGGGATACCTCCCACGGTAAGCTTCAGTTCTCTGCCACTACTTTGGTATGGCAGAAAGGGGAAGGAAATGGTGTCATTCCAGTGCAGTGACATCACTTCCGGCGCAAACCAGAAGTGACATCTTCACATCGGGCGACCCTCTAGGATTCCACTGACACTCTATTGTAAATCCACAGCGCTTCAGGGAATCCTAGAACGTCACCCCAACACAATGATACTGCTTTTGGGTTTACACTGGAAGTGATATTCGGGCACTGGAGCAATGCCAGGAGCTGCCTCCGTGAGCAAGAGGAGGAAGAAGAAGAAGAAGAGTTAGATTTATACCCCTCCCTTCACTCTGAGTCTCTGAGTGGCTTAAAATCTCTTTTCCCTTCCTTTCCCCACAGCAGACAACCTGTGAGGTAGGTGGGGCTGAGAGAGCTCTTTCGAGGATTGCTCTTGAGAGAACAGCTCTGAGAAAACTTGTGACTGACCCAAGGTCACCCCAGCAGCTGAATGTGGAGGAGTGGGGAATTCAACCTCGTTATCCCAGATTAGAGTCTGCGCTCCTAACCACGACACCAAACTGGCTCTCGCACCACAACCGTCTCTGCCGAACCGAGCTGAGCCACCGCAACCACGCTTCCTCCTCCCTCCCCCCCTTCCTTCATTATGGGGCAGGCACTGTGTCCTTTCCAGGGCTGTTTTCACCTCCCTATCCACCCCACGTGACCCTCACTTGATGACTGTTGCAGCACAGGCTACCTGTCAACGGGCCAAACGGGCACACGATGCAGCCTTATATCGCCCAGGACTCTTGGTCGGGTCACATCTGAGCAGCCTCTGCCTTCCTGTGCGGCTACAGAGCCCCGGGTTGTTTGGCATGCAAAACAGGTGCTCCACCGCTGAGTCACTTCTCATTCCCCATCGCTGATCAAGCACGACAGGCCGCTTTCCACCGAACACTTCTGCAGACAACTTTGCAGGGCGATAAGAGAACTTCTTGACCTCCCCCGACAATAAACACACATTTGGTGCCACCCCCTTAAAGGCACTGGAGTCTGCTCCTTCAGATGCAACACAAGGACCCTATAGAATCACAGAGTCGGAAGGGGCCATAGAGGCCATCCAGTCCAACCCCCCTGCTCAATGCAGGATCAGCCTAGAGCATCCCTGACCAGTGTTTGTCCAGCCGCTGCTTCGAGACGGCCAGGGAGGGGGCGCTCGCCACCTCCCTAGGCAGCCGATTCCACTGTAAGAACATAAGAGAACATAAGCGATGCCAATGTTGGATCAGGCCAAAGGCCCATCCAGTCCAACACTCTGTGTCACACAGTGGCCAGAAATACCAGGTGCCATCAGGAGGTCCACCAGTGGGGCCAGGACATTAGAAGCCCTCCCACTGTTGACCCCCCCCCGCACCAAGAAGACAGAGCATCACTTGCCCCAGACCCCCTATCTATACCTTGTGGCTAATAGCCACTGATGGACCTCTGCTCCATATGCTTATCTAATTCCCTCTTGAAGCCGTCCATGCTTGTAGCCGCCACCCGTTCCTGTGGCAGTGAATTCCAAGTGTTAATCACTCTTTGGGTGAAGAAGTACTTCCTTTTATCCGTTCTAACCTGACCACTCAGCAGTTTCATGGAGTGCCCACGAGTTCTTGTATTGTGAGAAACGGAGAAAAGTACCTCTTTCTCTACCTGCTCTTTCCCATGCATAATTTTATAAACCTCTATCATGTCACCCCTCAGCTGTCGTTTCTCCAAGCTAAAGAGCCCTAAGCGCTTTAACCTTTCCTCATAGGGAAACTGTAAAAAGGGTTTTCCTAAAATCTAGCCGGTACTTTCCTGCCCATACAAACAAAGACGCCTCATAGCAAGCCACACCATTGGTCCATCTAGCTCAGTCCTGTCTACTGTGACTGGGAACGGCTGCCAGGAAGAGAAAGTATTTTTGTGGTAATGGCCATCCGAGACCTTTTAACTGGAGATGACAATGGCGGGACCAGAGGTCTCCTACATGCCAAGCAGGAACAGCCAGGTTGATAGCCCTCCTTGGCTTCAAAGCTAAGGAAGTTTGAGGGGCCGAGCCTGGGGAAGTGGGGCATCACAGGTGCTGTGACGTCACTTCTCGGCAGTCACCAGGAAGTGATGTCACAACCCCACTCAATGCTCTAGGAATTCCCTCAGTCTTTATGGTGAAGACGGCAGAGATTGACATGATTTC